CCAGAAAATGGCCGAAAATCTAGTCGATTTTAGTGATGGAAGGCTATGAAGATGGTGGCTATGGTTTTTGTGAAATGTTGAAATAGACGAAATGAGGCTAAGTGTAGTGTTGTATTTAGAGTAGAGGAGAAGACTAGGGCTTGATGTTGTAGTTGGGCTTAAAATCGGGCTTTGACTAGTCGAACATTGACTTAGTTAAATGTTCGGTCAATTTAAATGGATAAAGACTTAGACTAAATTAATTAGTCGATCGAATTAATAAAATAATTGGCTCAGACTTAATAATTGAAAATGGGCTCGATTAAATGAATTGGCCCGGAATAAAATGGACTTGCTCGAAAATGATTGGGTCGAGGAAGTTAAATATTCGGGCTTCGCCTGACTTAAATAAAATTTAGATTATTTCAAGGCTCACTTTTATCTCAAAAATAAAACTGATACTTGGGTAACTAAATCCTATATTGAATATTACTAATCGAATAAATTCTCTATGGCTTAGACTTAATATTAAATACTCGATTTAATGCAAATAGTACTAGATAAATGCATCAAATAAGGAAACTTTTTATTTATGAAAATAAAGTCGAGCTCCATAAATAGTAAAAAATATTCTGGGCGTTACATTATCCTTCTGTGGTCCAGTTCAATACTTAACATATGTACTAGTGCAATCCAACAGTCGAAGACCAACCGACTCAAGACTACACTGCAGTCTTTTTCCAACAGGGGTCTCAATGTCTGTCTAGACTGTGAACTAATAGTTTATCTTACAAAGAATCGATATATGAACGACAGTTGAGACTCCTCGGCGATGGTAGCCCTTGGCTCACGGGAGGGCTGCTGCAGGTTCGCAGACGGACTGAGATGGCTACTACGTGTGTAGACGAAGGTGCTGCTGCGATGTACGATCGACAGCTGGGTGGGCTGCTTGGGAAAGAACACCGAGAAATTTGATGTTGCTCAAGGCTGCAGTCGTCGAAATTAATGGCGATATATTATTTTTCTTTCTTTTTTTATGCGATGGTGAAGGAGAGATCCGTCTGGTGGCTTTTTTAACGAGAGAGGGAGACGTGCGAGAGAATCTCTCCCACGAAATCGCAACAAAATTTCGAAAGATAGGGGAGAGAGAGTCGGTCAATCCTGGCACCGGTAATTGAAAACTCTCTCCACGTTCAAACATAATTTAGTGAATTGGGCCAAACTTAATAACTCCAAGTGGCTGAAACAACATAAAAGGGCATTAGAAATATTTTAACTCAAAATGGGCCTAGAATTAAAAAAGGGCCAAATAATTAATCACATGGGCCTAAATAAAATTCCAATTGGTCCGGTTACACAAAAGTGGCTGAAATTTTATATCTCAAATAATTGACGTGAAAAGGGCCGGAATTTTACTTCAAACGAGCCACAACAATAAATTAGCGAAAGCGGCTCGGATAAAACAACGTGATCTAACAAGGATTTGGAAAGATTCGACATGACGAACAATTACTAGATGTATACGACTTATTAGATTAATTAAACAATGATATCTAATTAATTATAATAAGTTCTGTTGACCACTTTAGCTAATAATAAAATAAAATGCGAGAACTCGAATAAATCAAATGGTACACTACCCACTCAGGTTGGTTTCTCGAGCTATTTTGGAGGTTATATCAGCAGATGTACCATTTTGTACTCTCATTTGCAGTGATCTGGATCTTTATATTCATCGAAATCAATATACATTTCCTCAAAATCTTGCACCAAGCATAAAAATAAGCGAATACATGTTGAAGCGTGGATTGAGCTGTGATAAGTGAAAATATTTACTTAGGTCAATCATTAGTTGTCCCGTGGATTAAGATATAACACACGATTATTCGGAAGTGTAAGATCCCAAACTAGACATTTATAGTTTGTGCACAATGCACACGAAAATATATACAAGTACAAAACTGTAAGCAATTGGAACATCAATAACTTGGCATAAAGTTTGGACCAAACACATAAACGTTTCAACCTTATCCATCACAAACACAAGACGCCAAATTCTTGGCTCACAAAGCACCACCCATTTATCACAACATTCATACAAACAAACAAAGATCCCTTTACTTAAAACCACACAAACCAACTCCCAAGAAGCCACCACCAAAACAAATTCAATCGCCTGCAGAAACCCACCTCAATTTTGTTCACCTATTGTTGAAAAATCATGGCAGCTGACTACACCAACACGAGAAAATCAAACACACAGATCCTCCAAGAACTCGAGGCCCTGAGCGACTCCCTCTACCAATCCCACACCACCACCCGGCGGACAGCCTCCCTCGTCCTCTCCCGCGCAGACATCCAGACCGACGCCATTAAAGGCGAAAATGCCCTCAACCCTAGACAACCCCGCCAGCGCCGCATGTCCCTGTCCCCGTGGCGCTCCCGGCCGAAACTCGAAACTGGACAGAGCTCACGAGACAAACTCGAAGAGCAGCAAGAGCTGCCGCAAAAGAAAGGTATATGGAATTGGAAGCCAATTCGGGCCCTGACCCACATCGGCATGCAGAAGCTAAGCTGTCTCTTCTCTGTGGAGGTTGTCACTGTACAAAACCTCCCAGCCTCGATGAACGGCCTCCGTTTATCTGTATGCGTCCGTAAGCAGGAGAACAGGGACGGGGCCGTCCAGACGATGCCGTCCCGCGTGTCCCAGGGGGCAGCCGATTTCGAGGAGACGCTGTTTGTGAGGTGCCACGTGTACTACACACCAGGAAGCGGGACCAACATGAAGTTCGAGTCCCGTCCGTTTCTCATATACGTTGTCGCAGTTGATGCTGATGAATTAGATTTCGGCAAGAATTCGGTTGACTTGAGCCGGCTGATACAGGAGTCGGTGGAGAGGAGCTTGGAGGGGAGCAGGTTGAGGCAGTGGGACAGGAGCTTTGGGCTCCTGGGAAAGGCCCGAGGGGGGGAGCTCGTTCTCAAGCTCGGGTTTCAGATCATGGAGAAGGACGGGGGCACGGGGATATACAGCAGCCAGGGTGGGAAGCCCAAGAGCTCACCCTCGTTCGCAAGGAAACAGTCCAAGACGTCATTCAGTGTACCTAGCCCCAGGATTACAGGCCAGGCCACACCCACACCTACTGATGGTAATGGTATACAAGAGATGGACGAGCTGAACCTCGATGAGCCAGCCCCACCACCTCATCCCGTGAAACAGGACACGAAAGGGGACGACCAGGATCTGCCGGATTTCGAGGTGGTTGATAAAGGCGTGGAGATTCCTGAATGTGAAGATGAAGAATCTGAGGAAAACTCGGTCAAGAGCGAGGTTGTGAAGGAGGTGGTCGGGGACAAGACGCACGTCACGCGGCTGACGGCACTCGACTCCATTGCTCAGCAAATCAAAGCACTCGAGTCCCTCGTGGGAGACCACACACTTGACTCGGACGAAGACAAAGTCACCCGAGATTTTTTGCAAATGCTTGACGACAATGACAAAGACAGCGAAAGAACTGAAAACATGGGTGTTGGTGTTGCTCTTTCCAAGAAGGCCGAGGAGAAGGAGGTGTTCCTGCCCGACCTCGGGAGAGGGCTCGGGTGTGTGGTTCAGACGAGAAACGGTGGGTACCTGGCGGCTGCAAACCCGCTGGACACCAGTGTTGGGCGCAAGGACATGCCGAAACTCGCTCTGCAAGTGTCGAGGCCTGTGGTCATCCCGCGCTCGGGTGAGATGGGGTTTGAGGTGTTCCAAAAGATGGCCGCGGTTGGGCTGGAAGAACTCACCTCACGGATTACGGCACTGATGCCCCTCGAAGAGCTGCAGGGGAAGACGGCAGAGCAGATAGCCTTCGAGGGCATTGCCTCGGCCATCGTCATGGGACGGAACAAGGAGGAAGGCGCTACCTCGAGTGCGGCCCGCTCGATCGAGGCCGTCCGGGCCATGGCCCGTGCCGCCAATGCAGGCCGGAGGGAGAGGGTCACGACCGGGATCTGGAGCGTGACCGAGGAGCCAGTTGCGGCAGACGAGATCTTACCCTTCTCCCTGCAGAAAATTGAGAGCACGGCGGTGGAGGGGCTGAAAATCCAGGCCGACGTGGCAGAGGAGGAAGCACCATTTGATGTATCATCCCCAGGAAAATCGAGTGGCGGCTTGTTGGATTTGGCCGTCCCAGTGGGGGAGTGGGAGAAAATGAACGGCCCGGATGTAGTCAATGTGGTGTTGACGGCCCAGCTGCGGGACCCGGGGAGGGAGTACGAGGCCGTGGGGGGCCCAATGATGGTTGTGATCCACGTGTCATGTGTGGCTGGAAAAACAGAGGAGGAGCGCAAGTATAGGGTGGGGAGCATGCAGGTCGGAGGCGTTAAGGTAAGGACTGCAGGAAAAACGTTGGGTTGGGACTCGGAGAAGCAGAGGCTCACGGCCCTGCACTGGCTGCTGGCGCATGGGATGGGGAAAAAGAAGGGGAGACGAGTCGGGTCCGGTAAAGGCCCCGATCTCCTGTGGAGTGTCTCGTCACGTGTGATGGCGGATATGTGGCTCAAGCCCATAAGGAATCCGGATGTCAAGTTTGTGGCCGACTGAATCTGCGTTGGGAAATTCTTTTGGTTATTTTGTTTTCGTTTTCTGTATGTTGTTCGTTATTATTTACATACATTTGGCGATTCTTCTTTTCAACGTCTGATTTTGGTACAAACAAAGCAGTATAGATGGATGATTGAAATAGGGGCTTCTTTCGGTATACAAAATTATGTTCATGGCTTGTCTAAGTGCATTTCAATGGTTAAGCATTTATTTTGAGATAATGGTGTGGAGAAAGAGAATAAAAATATTTTGTCTCTAATGGTTAACGTCAATTGTAGAATAATTTGACACGTGTAAAATAATAATTGGTTGGTGGAAAGAGAAATATTAAATAAATAATATAATATATGGTAGAAGATGTCTAAAAGTCTTTCTACGTCTAGAAAGACTTCTACAATTTTGAAACGCCACATCAGATTTTTGAAGATATGTGGCAATGAATTAGGGCAATCCATGTACTATTGGAGATGCTCTTAAATCAACTAAACAAAGACTATCAGACTAACATATAACTGACGGTTAACAAAGTGAACATCCCCCTTTGAGCTTGAACTTGGTGCAAATAAACAAGGCCAAGCTTGGACTGTAGAATAGACAAACTGGAAAGCCCCAAAGATTTTGTAAAGATATATATCTGCAAGGTGTATGGTAGAGGAGACCTTGAGAGGAGCAACCAAATCGGCCTTGAATTGATTACGCTCAATATGACAATCAATTTCTAATTTCTTAGCACGTTCATAAAAAATAGGATTCGCAACAATGCACAAACCAGACTTCATTGTTACACAATAATGGAATAGGAGTAACAACAAGTACGCATGGATCATGAAGAAGAAAAGAGAGCCACTGAAACTCACAACCGTGATACTTAGAGCTCGATATTCTACCTCAGCAGAAGAACGATAAACCATTACTTGTTTCTTGGTTTTCCAAACAATCAATGCACTGTGGCACCTCAAAGTATTTAAGTTATATGTATATATATAAAGAGAGAACCTATTTACCAAAAATAGTAACAAAAAAGTAAACCAGCATTTATTTCATTCTATTTTTTGCAGTTATTTTATTTTCTTTTTAAATTATTTTCAAAATATTGATCTGCTATATATGCATTCTAAATTTATGAGTTTTGTGGATTTAATTTATGTAAATTTCGGTTGATGCTTACACTTTTGCAAAAGTCAAAATTTTTTCTCAATTTATATTAAAAAAAATTGGTTACCATAAAATTGGGAATTTTGAATTAGGCAAAACATTATCACATATTATATCTTTTCTTAATTGCAACACATCAATTTTTTAAAAAATCAGATTGCATAAATTGGCATGCCAATTTTGTAAAAATTAAAATTATCTTATTTTTTATTAAAAAAAGTATGTTTACCATAAAATCGAGAATTTCGAATTAGGCAAAAATAATATAACATGTATCTTTACCTAATTGCAACGGATCGTGTTTACTAAAAAATCGAACTGCATAGAAACCGGGCTCAATTTCAAATTACAAATTAAAATTTAAAACTTCCTTATCATTTGGCTACTATTTTCTTTTGTTTGGTTTTAGTTAAACATAAAACAGAGTCAAATAATATTTGTTGATAAACGGATTTAATCAACTGTTTAAATATATAATGTAACGAATTAAGACGAAATTAGAGAGACTTTATTGATAAAATATGGTGGGTTTTATGTTTGCTCAAGTCGGTTTTTTTGAACAGAAAGTCGGTATTCTTTACACGAAGTCGGATTCTGATGAGAACCGAGGTGTTAAATGCAACATTCAATGTGTCGAGAAAAGATCCTCGTATTGAGTTTAATTCAACTATTTATAGTAACTTCCGGCCCGTCTTTTGAGGAGATTCGGCGACATTTAATGCGGAATGACAGCGTAGGCGCAACTTTTTTAGTAGGTGGGTCCCCTGGCAATGATGTCTTCACGTGGGTCGAGGTGCTTGATGGACAGGCATTTAATGCAGTTTGAGGTGGCTGACGTCAGCAGGCTCTCACGGGTTACGACTTGACCTGGGTCGGTCTTTTTGCTAAGGTCGGCTCACCTGTTTAGCCGAGGTGCCTTCCCGAACTTCGGTTTCCTCGTTTTCTTCCTCCTTCCATACACGTGTCACCGATCCGACCTATGAGATGGTTTTTATGCCAACATAGGCCCCTGGCATTAAGAGGCACATAGATATATGGTGCCTTTTAATGCCATACTACCTTTCGATGACGTCTACTATAAGGCGATGTTGACCGACTTCTGGCCCTTAACCAAAATTCGGATTGCTTAATGATAGGGTCACTCTTCTCTTGAAATGGTGCGTGGACTCGCGAAACGACGCGACTGTCGCCTTCTATCTTAGGCGGTTACGTCTATTCATGACACGTTCCCACGATCTCCGTAACTGACCTAACGTGGCGCGCCCCCATTAGTCCGCGTGCATTTACGGGGGAAGTGCGAACCGTCCCTACCTTTTAATCATGACAGTTTCAGACATCAGTTCATCCCGAACGGTCAAAAAGCTCGCATATAAATACTCATTCCCTTAAGGTCTCGAAGATATCCACTTAACTTCCTTCAAATTTTTGCTATCTCCTTCTAATTCTCGTCTCTCTGCTTTTCCGATTTCTGTCATCCCGTACCCCGACGCTAAGTCATCTGTCTGCGGTGAGTTCCTTTTTTTTCATCCTTTCTAGTTTTATTATTTTGTTTTGTTTTCCGGGATTCCATAAATTCCTGGGAGATGGAGGAACAAGCAGCGACGAGTAGCTGTAGAACAATCTCTGACGAGGCAGTTCGCGGGGTGGTTTCCGACGAGGAGGTCGATTTGGACTTAGCGTTGGGTTACTTCCGCTGGGATCCGGTGTTGGTCGAACCTTTGGTTTTGCGGAGGAACAATCATGAGGGGGACACCGAGGTTGAGAAGGATCTGCCTGTGCGCAAGGGTTATTGGAATCATCCCCCTCGGCGTTGGCCAGACGTCGACACAGTCTTTCTCGGTGAGCCCAGCACGATGCATGATGTCGACGTGGTTTTGCTGAGGAAGTCGACTCGGATTCCCCCCTTTGTGAGGATGTTCGCCCCTATCCCGGGGAGAGGATTCACTCTCCTCCCCCCGGTTGTATAGGGGTTTTTGCCAAGAGTATTAGATCGGAGCTGAGATTTCCTCTTCCCAACATGCTTACCGACTATCTCCGGGACTGAGGCATCGGAATAAGCCAGATTACACCGAGCAGCTGGAATAAGATTATTGGTTTAATGGTCCTTTGTGTCCAAAAAGGGTTGCCATTCCCCTCCATCGATGAATTCCGGAGCATTTTCTTTTTCAAGCAAAGTTGGGAACGCGAGGGCGTACCGCCCTCCGGTTGCTTTTTTTTGTGCCGCCAAGGCGCAGAGAGAATTAAAAGCTGGCCAATTGATCACAAGAATTCCCGAAACGTTACATGGCTTCCAGGAGGAGTGGTTTTGGGTCGGCGGTGACTGAGTCAGCCGACTTCCATTTGGAATCAAAAATTGATGGGATGATCGTCCCTAACCGTGCCGTTTATTTTTATTGTATGTTACTTTTCTTGTCCGCATCGGTACCTCCTAACTGGTGGTTTTTTTTTCTTTCGCTAACAGGTCGGAACTTTTGGTATTTGTAGCTAGAAGAAAGAGGGAACGCAAGATTAGGGACGAGTTCGAGGAGAGACTCAAAGAACTCGCTAAGGTTGACTATTCCGATTGTGGGTGGCGCAAGTTATTGAAGGAGATGAAGTTGGCGAAAGCGAAGCTATCAGCGCCGCGTCCGTCTAAAGTTATCACTCCAGGTGAGTTTAGCTTTGTTACAAGTTTTCGTCATGCAATTCTCCCTGTATCTTCTATTTACTCTCTTTCGCATGTGTTTTCAGTTTACTATCCCATCCTCGGTTTCTTTGGCTTCAAGTCAATCGAGGAAGCCCAGGCATTTCGACGTAAATTCCCGAATACCGACATCCAAATCAAGTTTAAGAAGGAGGTAGAATGGGTCGCTTGAAGTTTTTGCAAGGTGTGAAGAGGGCTGCCGCTGGCCGAGGTGTTGTCGTTGCAGGCGCTGACGTTAAACTGATTACCTCATCTGTCAAGCGGCAATCGGTACAGACGTCGGGCCCCGACCCGACTTCCAATCAGATTCAAGAAACCGAGCTTGTCGTGGCACCCCAAGTCCGCACGGCTCACGAGGAGAAAGAAGCCACGGAGGTTCTTCCCGACGTTCATGTCATTGTATCAAGCGCCGATGAGGCGGAGGAAGAGAAGAAAGCAAGTCCAAGAAGAAACCTGAAGGTGAGACACATGTCGCCGGGGAGCGACGGTCTAAAATGAGGCATGATGTTGGTCAAATATTGAGAGAGAGAGAGACGCTCCGGTGCACCGTGATGGGAGCTCGTCTTATCTGCCGATTGACGAGGAAAGAGTCCTTAGTCTTAACTTGGCTTTCGGGGTTGCGGAGGAGTGGTTCACTCAGTTCCATTCTGTCGCGATCCCCAAAATTTCCAACAAGTTCCACCAGCCTTCTCATGTGATCGACGTGGCCAAGACTCCTTAAATGGCGTGGGACCCCGTTGTTGTAGCAAATTTAATTTATATGTTTTTCTCGAGCACATAATTAAAAATTCGTTTCCCTAGTCGATCTCAATGAAGATTCAGCATGATTAAATTGTGTACTTATTCGATTAATAATAAATAAATAAAAAATATTTCCTAATCATTATAATCCATTTCATTCAATTTTTATTATCCACTATTTTTACTACTTTACCTAATAAATGTAAAATTGCAAGTAAAATCTAATTCTCTCAGTTGGGAGCATTTTCGGCGATTCTCTCAGTTGGGAGCATTTTTAGTTTTTTTTTCTGCAATTGTTTGATCCGATTGCTAGATTCGATAGTCGCTCAACTGTTTTTTGGTTCACCCTCAATTTCCTACTGTTTGAAAACCCTAACTATGGCAGAATCAAGCTGCATTGGGCACGATGAAGACCTAGCGG